AATAATTTGAAAAGTGCGCACATTAGTTTAAAAAAAATTTAACTCCCCTCATTTTCTCTAGCAAACGTGTTAAACGAGTGAAATTGAAGTCTGAGAATGCTATGCATAATTAAAGGCAAGTTAAACTAAAGTCTGTTTTGAAATTGAAATCAACTGCATGTGCTCCAAATAATGCATCAACTTTTAAAGTACGAATCAAGAATGATGCACAAGTTAGAATTATGAACAAAGATTAGACTCAATCCTCTGCTAGTTAATAGAGTTAACAAGGTTAACAAAATTTTGAAAATATTCAATCATTGATAATGGCCATGTTGAAACTAAATCTCAATGGGAGGAGATTTTATTATCAAAATGTCATATTAACTCATATCGAACCTAATCATCTACTCGCAAATAAGCAACGTTAACAAGTTTCAAATACCAAAATGAAAAGAATTGGACTTCTTAATGATGACAGCATTGAAAGTAAATAACAAACAATAGATTAATTCTCAAAATTAAATCCTCACTTTGCAAACAAAAATATTTTAAGTGACTTGAATGCCACCACCCAATGATGATCCTATTAAAAGTAAATCTCAACCGAAGAGGTTAATTCGCAAAAATCATATTTTCATAATGCAAATATAAATATTTTAAATGACTTTAATACCACTCAGATGATGGTCGTGTTGAAAGTAAATATCAGTCAAATGGGTCAATTCTCAAAAATCAAGCTTTTATAATGAAAATATAAATATTTTAAGTGACTTTAATGCCATACTGATAAAGGTTGTCTTAATAGAAAATCTCAATCAAAGAACAAATGATTTTTAAAATTTCTTTAATCTTAAAGTTAATCACTTATGACTCAAACTTCAATAAAAATTTAAAATTAAACATTTATAAATATTTAAAATATTCAAGTAATATCTACTCATAATAAATTAAAGTAAAATTCATTCATCCTCCACAACCGTTGTCAAAAAAAATAAATTTAAGAATAACTCTAGCTCACAAGGAGCAAATGACTTATCAAGAATGCTATTAAGATTCATTTTCAAATAATCTTCTGCAAGTAAAGACGTGACAAGTATTAATTGATGGTTTATCACCAAATGGCACAACACATAAATGATTATGACTAGGGCTTTGTGATCAAGTGATTTTGATACGAAAAAATACCACTAAATTGCGGGCATGGCTAGAGCCCATATGTTTTCCTACCACTAAAAATCTTGTGTAATGAATCATATAATATACTTGATAAAGAATAAAGCCCTCTATTAGATAAGATCGGCTTGAATTTATCCTCTTAGACAAACAATCATCTCATGTCTATAAGATACCCTTTGATGAAGCAACCATGATTGCTAACAACAATCCTTTGATCAAGTTTAGTTAACATCCTCTATTGACTAAGTGGACTATAACTATGATATCACATAATAATAGAATCATGAGATCTTAATCAGATTCATCATCGTTGATGTGGTGGTGGAATCTTCTGGCAATTTGTAAGGGAATGCTTAAAATATTGTTATGTGATGATCTAGAATATATGGGGTCAATTGGTAGGGCTTAGGTTGGTTAACTTGGCCCTAGGCTCAATCTAGGTCATGTCTACCCAAAAGTGACTAATTTGAGAAAATAATTCCAAATCCTAAAACACTTGGTGGATTTAAAAAAATCTACAAGGAAATGATAGTGGAGATACTTAGCAAAGTTTCCACAATTTTTTATAATTTTAGGAATTGTAACTAATTACAACAACAACAACAACAACATCAAGCCTTTATCCCACTACGTGGGGTCGGCTACATGAATCCTTTTTCTCCATTGTGTCCTATTAAAAGTCAAATTCTCGTTTAAATCTAATAAAGAAAGGTCATTCCTAATATTTTCTAACCAAAATAGGAATTAGGATTTTGGATTTTTGGTCAAATATAAAACAACGAGATCAAGAGGCGGCATTACATTAAAATTGTTCAACGAAATGTTTAGATCAATCCCTAAAATTTACACAAGATTTCAACAAGTATTGATCCACCAAACGAACAAAAGAATCTAAATAGATCAGGTACACTCTTACTCAAAATGGTAGGAAAATTTATTTAAAAATTAACTGATACAACACTAAATAATATATAAACATTCCACATAAAAGTTATAGAAGTTTGAGTAGATATACTCAAACACAGGCACATATAAGGCAAAAGACTCACCAAAGTCAAGTACAAGTAAACATGATTACCAAACCATGTTCATGGATCAAGCCACCAAGCTTTCTTCCTTGAATCAAGCCACCAGGACTTAAATTTTAAAAGTTCCTTCATACAACAATAATCATTTTTTATTCACAAATGAAGTCAAAAATATACACACATGAAGAATTTCGAATTAAAGGAGTTTCAGAGGGCTGTGAGGCAGGCCACACATCATAATAACTACCATAAGTACTTCCTCCATTCCACTTGGCTGTCCCTTTATGTTGATAAACTCAACAAAACACACTCACAAGGTTGGCCAATACACTCACTCACACTCACACAAAACCACTTGGGTGCACTCAAGTCCACACCAATACACTCTAATCCGCTACAACACAATTATATTAAAACTATTTTGGAAAATGAAAATACATGAAATTTTCTATATTTTCTTCATTTGGATCCTGGTAATGAGTTCATTTCTTTTTAGCATAGCTCTCTTGGTCAGCATCTTAGTAGGTCCAATTCTTGATGCAGGTGCTACACAAGTTATTCCACCACCATCTGCATTAAATGCAAGGTGATAAATTTTAAATCATAAACATCAAATCTATTATTACTATACAATGGGTGCTTAGTGCCCGCATAACGAGTAACCTTACTTGAAAGTGTCCTCTCATCACTAGAAGGTTTAGTTAACCATAGAGGCTTACACCTATGGAAAATCTGAACTCAAATCTCAAGTCTTTGCAAAAAGACGACAAAATCTCACTGCCACCAAAAAATTTGACTCAGCAAATCTGTTAAATCTCTCCTGAATGTGGAGAGGCTGAGGTGCTACAACAACAGCAACAACATCAAGCCTTTATCCCACTACGTGGGATCGGCTACATGAATCCTTTTTCTCCATTGTGTCCTATTAAAGAACAAATTCTCGTTTAAATCTAATAAAGAAAGGTCATTCCTAATATTTTCTAACATAGATAAGACAGCAATAACAAAAATAACATCAAGCCTTTATCCCACTACGTGGGGTCAACTAAATGAATCATTTTTCTCCATTGTGTCCTGTAAAGAGTCAAATTCTCATTTAAATTTAATTTTAAAAAAAAAGTCATTTTTAATATTTTCTAACCAAGTCAATTTACGTATATCTCTAGCATTCTATCATAAGTCAAATCTAATACATCTACTCTCTTAACAAGGTAATTGAAAGACCAATGCTTTATGTGACTAAACCATCTAAGGCTACTCTTATATAGCAATGGAGCTACTCGAACCTGTTCACGTATATATAGAGCCCACAGATGAAAACAAAAATATATTTTCAACCTTAAAGAAAAAGATTTGGCCTCTTGGCAATTTCACAAAAATGTTTCTCAAAGAAAAGGTTCGGTGCCTAAAAGAATGTAGTGAGATAAAGGGTTGATGTTATTGTTGTTGTTGTTGTTGTTACATGTTTCTTATCTTATACTATCTTATATAGTTATATTATCTATTTTCTTATAACATCAACCCTTTATTAGTATAAGATAAGATAGTATAAGATAAGAATTCTTTTTCCTCATTTTCACCTGTTAAGAGTCAAATTCTCATTCAAATCTAATAAAGGAATATCATTTCTAATATTTTCTAACCAAGTCTCTTTAGATCTACCTCTAACTTTCATAACATAAGTCCAATATAAAACATCTACTTTCCTAACCAGGTCATCAGAAGGCCACCATTTTATGGTAGCAACAATGGAGATGGATGATAAAAAGAGAATGAGATAATTAGACACCTAAACGATAAGATAAAGCAACAATTAGGTAACAAACTAGACTTTAATAAGAAACGTCTCAAAAAGGAAAGGGGTTGACCAAAGGTAGCATGATTGGAGTTGTTTTGGGAGATACGTAAAGTTGAACAAATAGAAACTAAAGGTCTAAACAAGAATAATGCTACAGCAGAGAGTGATGATGAAAGAAGAAAATTAAGGGAGCATACACCATGCAACAACAGAGATCCGTATTTCTAATACCTCCGTCATTATGCCTACAACTCCATTCATTAACATATGGTCCAGAAATATATCTAAGAGATAGATATAAGTTATTCATAAACCACACAGCTAACCATCCACCTAAACTGAAAGAATAGTATGCAAAAACGTGTGGCTTGATCATTAGCTGGCAAATATTACTTAAATTAGCTTTAAATTTAGCTTATTGCACTCATATTTCATGTTCAAATACATCTTTAAATTGCAGCTTTTATTTGCATTTAAAATATTTTTTATTTCTTTCGTCTATTTTTAGTATATACAAATATTAAATAATGTAATGATTATATATCTTATTTTCAGAATAGTAAATCTCTCTTTATATACCTAGAATTATTTACAATTATTATATTTTCTATGATTGACAAATTGAACTAGTGAACCGATAATGCAATTCCTTGACCTTTTTAATGCATGGACCAAGTTTAATACTAACCTTTGACTAAAAATAAATGTAGCAGATCATATGGTAGTGATGAGACTGACAATGATAATGAAACTATACGGAAAAGCTCCTTCACGAAGGAAAAAAACAATCAAATAGATAATGTATCTTTCACAAGCAAAAAGTGGTTGTTAAAATCAAAGAAAAATATTCAGTAGGCCTGCGCATACTGAAATACAAATTCAGAAGATAATATTTAACTGAATCTGCACATATTGTAAGTAAAACAATATACCAAAGTATTAGCCTCTGCTTCTATGATAAACTAGATGATTGGAAGTAAGAAAATAAACTCAAGCATCATAAGAGACATGTATACCTCAACTCTTCCATCTCTCATCATATTTATGGCTGCAATCTCAACTATGTTGGCCAGCTCAGCACCAACCATTCCCTCTGTCATGCTAGCAACAGCAACATAATCTACATCTTCTGCCATGGGTTTCTTCTGAGCATGCACCTGTCAAATATAACTTCCTATATTCGGTCAATGATGCATCACCAGTAACCTATGTAAAAAAATGTATTTTGGTGACCATTAACAAGCAGATTATACTACAAAAAAAATTCCTCAAGTAATAATCCACATCACGATACTTTCAAAAATAACTGACTAAACCTCTCAATGAAATTCAAAGCTGCCAAAAATGTTCACATATCAATTTTTGAATGCTACAAAATGGCTTACCTCACTACATTTGGACCTCAAAAAAGCATTTATTGACCAAGTCCTTTCCTACTTCTAATTGTGGGGGATTAAAAACTGGAAAAAACTGATATAGATAGATCCTTTGTGGCATTTTGAATTTAGACTGAAGCTCCCTTCTAGGACTAGCAGCTCAGAAAATCTAAAAAAAAAAAATTATACATTTGAGAGATCATATAACCATTCTGAATAGCGGAATATCTTTTTATATTTTAGCTCATGGCAAGTGACTTATAAGAGTTGGCTTGATAACAAGTTGTTTCTTCCATATTTACATAATGTTACCATACCACAAGCTTTATCTACATGGTACACAACAAAATTTCTTCCCATGCCTACATACACTTCACATCTTAGTGACAATGGTGCAAGCACTTGAAAATATTAGTTCTACGTGGAATTTGATTTTGTCTTCTTGTTTGTGTTCGTTGAGTGGATTTACTTCCCCAACACAAAAGCAGTTCATATTTCTTAGTGAGAACACTGACACAGCATTACCAAACAAAACCTGAGTTTGGCTCAAGGAGAAGGAAAAGGGTTGCTTAAAAAAATCACGGGTAAAAGACTGAGCAAAGGCAAAAAAAAGCATCTAAGTTAAGATTTTCTTACATGTAGTTAAGATATTCATATAAGAAATAGACATTAGCACATTAAATATTTTGAGAGAAGGATACCTTCAGAATCTCAACTCGACCAGCTAGACTGGGTTTTGGAATATATATTTTTCTATCAAAACGCCCAGGACGAACAAGGGCAGGGTCAAGAATATCAGGTCTGTTTGTTGCAGCAATAGTGATAACATCACCTCTTCCTTCAAATCCATCCAAGCAAACAAGCAGCTTCAACAATCCAAAGAGAGAAAATTAAGAAAAAATAGTAAGTTCCAAATTGAAACTAAACATTTCATGACTTTACTTTTTAAACTACCTGATTTAAAGTAGCATCTCGTTCTTGTCCGCCAGAACCTTTAATTAATCCCCGCTCTCTACCAACAGCATCAAGCTCATCAATGAACACGACTGAAGGAGCCTATATGAACCAAAATAATTAGCAGCATTCATGTGGGAGAGAAAACGGCATTTGATTGTTCTACAAGCAAAAAATTGTGTTTGCATGCAACCAGCCTGACTTAATTTTCTATTAATGTTCAAACAACGTGACACCAGTTAGCTTACATTATCTCTTGCTTCCTGATAAAGTGCACGTACACGTGATGCACCAACCCCAACATAAATTTCAACAAACTGTGAAGCAGAAATCGAGAAAAAATTGACACCAGCTTCCCCCGCCACAGCTTTTGCCAATAAAGTCTTACCCACGCCAGGTGGACCACATAAAAGTATGCCTCCTGAAGAATGTTATGTAAAGAAATGTGAAAAAACAAGAAAAAAAAATAGCATCTCAATAACCATTGTTGAAAAACAATATTATGAAAGATAATGAAAATGCCTACAATGTTTGAGGTAGTGAACTAGCATTATTTGATGGATCAACCATGCACCGGCTTACAAAATTAGGCTTTGTTTGGAAATAATATGCTATGCTATGGTGTAAAATAAAATCATTATTATTCTTGTAGAGATGGATGTTGCTTGCTACATAGAGCAACGTAGAGGAACATATTACCAAACAAACTAAAAGCCACGAATTGAGCAGAGTGATCCTAGTCAAAGCAAAAAAAAAAAAACTCGTTGTCCTTTCCCATGAAGAAGTTGAGTGCTAATGTTAGCATCACAGAAATATGCAAAAATAATAACATATGATTAGAAATGATTGCGTCTGTCTCCGTAGAAATCTCACATCATTAAACGACTGACATACAATAACTCTAAAATAGTATTTTTAATACTGACACTTTGCCTCAAGCTATACATTCAAGCATGGTTTAAAATTGCGCAATAAGAGGCGTGCCTCAGCGCAATTTCGTCCATTTAAGCCTCAAAGCCTACGCAATGAGTTCAAGATTTGAGGCGTACGCCTCAAGTTTACTGAGGCGCGCCTCGCCTCACGGTTGAGAGGGACGCCTCTAAAAATAATGCTCGGTACTGAGCAGTAAATGCTCGTACCACTAGGTAAATGCTCGGTACCGAGCCAATACCGCTTGGTACCGAGCAGGTATATGCGCGCCTTGAGCAGTACATGCTCGGTACTGAGCAGTACATGATCAGTACGACTAGGTACATGCTCGGTACCGAGCCAATACCGCTCGGTACCACTCAAAATAACTCTTACAATAAAATTTTGTTCCGGTACCGCTCAAAATATCTCTTATATATTATTTTTATGTTTTATATATTATTTACTCATTGCTATATGCAAAATTTATCATTTTCTGTTTACGCAATTTTTTGATTTTGAGGCTTACGCCTCAAAACGCCTTGAGGCTTACGCCTCGCCTCACGAACGAAAAATGTCTCAATACCCGAATACGCAATTTAAAACATTGCATTTATGAGAGTAACACTTAGTTATGTAATTTAGAAAACTGAAGGGGGACCCAAAGCCTTGGGAAATTTATATGTTAGTTATTTTAAGCTACAAAAATGAGTAAAGATCTATCTCAACAACACAACATCTCAGATTTAAGTGTTGTCAGCCTCAACGTATTTTTTTCTTTTATGAAATGCGGGATTACTGGCAATGTAAATGGCAACTTGGTTGTCACAGATTAAGACCGTGGGTTGTATTATTGGAAAACCAAACTAGCGCAAGACAAATTAATTCACATGTAGACTTTGTCAGCTCTGCACTCTTCCATTTGACCAAATTATCTCTGATAAATATACAATATCCAAATATGATTTTTAATAGTCAAATGATCTAACATGATCAAAATTAGAAAAGAGCTTCCACATTAAGATAGTCATTCTTAGGGAAAGGTATTCCTTTCCTTGGTGACTTCTTGATGTATCTGAGGATACGTAGAACAACTTCTCAATATTTTTGTTTGGAAGTTTACATATCTTGACTCACAATCAGTATAATAAAGGATAGAAAAATAGATCAATCTGCCAAACAACATGATGGAGAAAAAGAGAAAAACTATGAGTCAACAACTAAAAGTGATCAGCAAATAACTTGAATTCAAAGAGCCCTCAATTAGCCTTAGAAATTACTGAACTTCATTTATTCATTAATAACCATAATAAATTTTAAATCATGGTTCATTATTTATACAAATAGGTACAAGGATAATGCTAATTATTTGAAAGCAAATCTAATACTATGCAATAACAACTATTTAAATTCAAATTTAACATTATGCAGGTTATAATAATTTAACCTAATGAAAATAAAAATAAATGAAAGTTCATCAAAAAAGAGTTGAAATAGTTATGATTTTTTTTTGGTCTGATTTGAATCCTTGAAATTAGCTTATAGCCAGTTGGGCTTTTGCAGGATGACTTGACCAAGTTAGTAGCTTGTATTGCATAAACTAAAGGGCAGAAAACTCTAGAGTTAATAACCATGTATCATCCAAGACATAAAAGGCTAGCTTTTGTAATTTATGAAATATCATTCAGGAATCATTTGAAAGAAACTTGACTTTCCACCTAACTAAAAACCTATGCTCGATATTTTTCCAAAGACTTCATTTCATCTGAAATAGCACTTTAAACATCCAGGTAACCAGGTGGAACAAGAATAAAAATCTTCTTATAAGCATATATAAAGATAGAGTGAGATAATTATATCTAGTACCACATTCAAGGCCATCAATTGGTTTGACCTGCATAAAATAACACATTACACTAAATTTATTTTCATCTTAATCCACATTAGATAATGATCAATAAGTTACAATAAAGACAATACTAAAGAAAAACTAAAATTTATGCCACAACTTTATCTCTCTAATATTTATCACAAGTTCCATCAGACCTCACTTAGTCTCTTCTCACCACCCATCTCACACTCTATCAGTGATTTATCTCCAATCATTACTCTGCTCAACATAAATTCAACTCAAAGCCAAGAAGCTCCAGCTTATGAAAGATATTCTGAACTTTATGGGGCTCATAATCAACTGACATTCGGCTACAATAATTAATTAACCAATCATAAAAGAGACATAGCTTGTTCAAGCTTGAAAAGGTATGGCTCATATTTCAATGTCATATGCAGCTCATTTTGATCCGTTAGTTGGGTGTTTGACAATCAACCAAAAAATCTTGGATATATATATATATATATATCAGAAGGTTCTGTTTGATAAGTCGCTTCAATTTAGATACTGCTTATAACTGTCATTCCACGCAGAAATTTAAGAATGGATGCCATGTTTACTGTGGCAGGAGTTGGGGTGATACAAGTGGTGGTTAGTTCTGGTTTGATGGATTCTGGCAGGTGTACAGAACGACGTGGTTAATTTTGGTTGGATGGCTTGTGGCACGTGTACGGGATGAGGGCAATATGACTAAAAGCCAATGCAAACTACTGAATGATTTTGTAAGCTACATTATTTTTTATTTAACAGATTTAAAAAGCCATATAACATTGTGAATAAATTGTCAGCTGAACTTGAATCAGCTAAAATTTTCAGGTTTAAGAAATAAAATCACCCAGCAAAGTTCAAAATTTAACATTAAGGAAAACTTGGTAACTAAATTTCAATCTTTTTTGAGCATACATAGGGGTACGATCCTGACCTGGAATTTTCACACCTCGTCTTCGGTAAACCTCTCCCATGGTGAAAAATTTAACAATTTCCTCAAGCTCAAGCCTGATGTTTCCAAGCCCAGCAACATCCTTAAACTTCACATCAACGCCTCTCTCCATGTACTGAGGAAGACGCTTACTATGGGCTCTCCGTACTCTAGCACCGGACCGCATGAATTTCTTCGCCATCTGAAGGTAAGGGTTTTGCTCTCCTTCTCTCTCTTCACCATCATCCTCCACAGCATCCTCAAGTCCTGTCATCTCCTTCTCCAACTGCCTCAACTTCTTCCTCTCCTCTGCCTCTGCCTTCTCAATCTTCAACCTATCCTCATAATCTTTCCTTTGCTTCCTATAGCTAAGCACAACCGTTCGATAAAAGACAAAAAAAAACAGCAACCCTAGCACAGTTGCAACATTCTGATCCCTGGCCAAGCTAGCCCACTTTCGTGCATTGGTTTGGTAATTTTTCCTGGCCTGCTTAAGGGAATCCTTGTACTTGGCCTTCCTTTCTTTCAATCTCCTCTTTCTGTCCTCCATTTTCTTCTGGTTTATAAGCGCCTTCTCCATAATTCGCCTCTCTTCTCTCAGGGTTGCTAGCTCGGCTTTCCTCCTTGCTGCCAGCTCCTTCCGCTCCCTCTCAAGCTCAAGAGCCCGCTTGGACTTCGGCTTTGGCTTTATAAAAGTGAAAATAAAGGTTGGAACCTTCAACAAAAAACCTAGATAAGGTGAAGGAAGCTCTGGCTTCTTGTCCGGGGGAGTATATGCATTGATGCACAGAGAATTCAGCTGCAAAGAGTCCCATGATTCCCAGAACTTGGAATCCCTCTCAATTGTGGGTAGGACTGTTCTCACAACCTTAGAATCGTCCAAAACCGCAAGAACAGGATCGGCCCTTTGCCTAAGAGGCGCAGTGGGGAGCTTAACGATGTGCTTAAGCTTGCCCTCTTCTCTGAGCTTTAGCAGCTCAGTGTATGGAATCCTGTTGCCGACGGTCGGGAGTCCGCGAGACCAAGCCTTGAGCTCATTTGGAGAGAGAGCTTCTGGGGATTTCTTGGACGCGCGCTTCTTCTCAGCTACCTTGGCATGAGCGAGAGCTTGTGGGATTGAGGAGGAGATCACGGTTAGTGTTACCGAGAATTGGAGCAACCTAGCATAGTTTAAGCTCTTTTCTTTCTCTTCGGGTTCCTTAAACCGTTCACATTTGCAGGAAATGATAGAGGGAAATGAGAAGGAAGGGGTCAATCTTCGATTGCAAGAGAAGATAGGTATGGGATGGAAAGAAGGTAAAAATACAGAGCGCATAGTTGTGAGCTCCAGGAAATCCCGTCGACAGTAGCGAAACGGGCGTTGCCCCGTGTATCGAATGGAAAGGAAAGAGGCACAAAATGGAGAAATGATTCTATGTAGGTAGGGGTGTCAATTTCGGGTCATGGGTCGGGTTCAGGTCGGATTCAGAATTGATCCGGTTCAAATGAGTCGATCCTAACCCGACCCGGTTAGGTAAATGGGTCGGAAATGTGAACCCGGACCCAACCCGACGGGTTGCTGGATTGACCCAACCCGACCCGGGAAAGGCGTGGTCGCGCGGTAGCGGCGTGGTAACGGGGTCGCGCGGCAGCGGCGTGGTCGCGGCGGGTTCGCAGGTTGACCCGGCAACCCGTCGGTTCAACCCGAACCCGACCCATTTTGAAATCGGGTCGGGTCCAACCCGGATTTTTCGGGTCGGGTCTGGGTCGGGTTCTCGTGTCGTGTCAAATATTGACACCCCTAATTCTATGAGGATGTGGCGTCCGTACTTCAATTAAATTTTGATATTTGGAGTTGACACTTAAAAATTTAATTGAATTTTATTTTTTATTTATGTCTTGTTAGTCCAACCAATCCAATCAGATCTAGAGATGAAAAAATTGAATTCGCAAGAGTTCAAAAGCTTAGACCTAGGTCATTTTATTTTTCATCACGGTATTTCACTGCTCACTTTCTCTCTTGTTCGATATTCCAGATGTTTCAATGCATTCCTTCGACATTTCAGTTGGTGCAAAAGTTTGTCACCACGTGCAAGCAAGTGCAAGGACTTGTTGCATCTTTATATGCGCTTTTCTTGCATATTCACAAGTTTCAATACCATACCAAATTCTTCTATTTTAAAAACTAGGTTGCTTTTTGTTTGCTTTTAAATTGTTGAGTTATTTTTTTTTTTTCATTTTAGCCTTGTTTTAATTGTGCTTTAAGTGTGATTTCACTGTGAATTTTCTTGCATTCTATTAGTCTGTATAACTACTTCAGTTTTCAAAAGTAGGTAGCACATCTTTAAAATATCTAAGTATATTTTTAATGGCTATTGTCACTGCTCTTTCACCACGCATTTGTTATTGTGGTTTAACTACACTTTTATTGTGCTTTTGCTTGGTTGTGCTTTCACTGTGCTTTTCTCTATTTTGACTATGTTTTTGAAGTTCTGTGAAACTTTTATTATTTCTTTCACTGGGATTTCACTACGCTTTAGTCGCTCTATTGCTACGCTTTCATTGCATTTTTTTTTATATTTATTATGTATTTCATTTTATTTTTTTGCAAGAGAGAATTTGGAAATTTATGTATGTTAATTATTTTCTCAATATGGATAGTAAACTAATATTTGTTCTTTATTTTGTTCAGATAAAAATATATATATGAAGATACGAAAGGATCTTTTAAGACCAACATAACAAAATGCAATATCCAAAGTGTCCATAGAATTTCAATGCTGCATTCCTTTTTCAATATCAACATTTTCAAAACTGGGCCGGTTCGACCGGTTTAACCACGAACCAGTCCGGCGGGCGGTCCAGTTTGCCAAAAGAACCGACTGTAAGCGAAACCGGCAAAAAATCGATCAAGAACCCGGTTGAATCGGTGAACTGCCGAACCGGGTTGGTTTTGAAGAACCGGCCGGTTCTAAGATTAGCGAATCTCAGCCGTCCAAAAATGATCACACGCGTGTAATGAGGCTGGGAATCGCTCCTGACACTCCTCTACCCTAAATAGCGATTCAATGGATTCATTGTTCGGTTGTTCCTCTACTCGCTCAAAGTCGACGACTGAAGCAGCGGCTGTTTCGGTGTTCCCCTACTCGCTCGTCGATCGAAGCATCCCAACCGCGGCGAACTCCTCCCGTCCTCCGACCATCCCATCTGCGGCGAACTCCTCCGACCATCCCATCCGCGGCGTCCTCCTACCGTGAGATTTAAATTTGTTTTTTTTTTCAACATTTTTTCTCTCTTTGAATTAGTTGGATGACTTCCTTTCTTAATAACAACAGCACGATCATCCAAGCCGCCAGCGAACTCCTCCGACGATCCTAGCCGCTGGTTTACCGTGAGGTTTAACTTTTTTTTTTCTTTTTGGATCTTCCTACATTCAAATCTAAATGCTTCTTTGAATTTTTTTCCTATTTTAGTTTTTATTTCATTGGATTTCCATGTTATCTCAATATGATTATTTGTTAGCAATATCTATTTATTTGTTGAATCCCTCAATCTAGTTGTCATTTTTATTTAAAATTTTTATATGGTTGTTTCAGATATATATCAATAATCAAGAGGGTTGTAACAGGTTTGTGGCATCAATGTGAGGAAGAAGATGCTAGTATATCAGTATATGTGATATCATAAATAGTTTATTGAAAAACTTTAATTTTAAAATTATATAAGACTGCAAACAAAGAGGTAGGAGTAGTAAGGATTTAGTTCAAGTGAATTGTATTAAAGATGAAGATCAAAAAATACTTTTCTTAGAAGATGATATTCAACAAAGATGGATGAGTTATTTTGCTAAACTTTTTAATGAAGATTGTGAAAATAAGATTGACTATAGTGACCTCAGCACCCTTAATGAAAATAAAGATTTCTGTTTTTATCGGCGTATTAGTAAAACTGAAGTTAGAGAGGCTTTAAAGAAAATGATGGGTGGAAAAGCCATTGGACCTGATGATATTCCAATAGAGGTGTGGAAATGCTTAGGAGATGAAGGAATTTCATGGCTTACTAAACTTTTTAATACTAATTTGAAGACTAAGAAGATGCGAGATGAGTGGAGAATGAGTGTTAATTCCTATTTTTAAGAATAAAGGTGATGCACAAGATTGTGCAAATTATAGAGGTATTAAGTTAATGTGTCATACTTTAAAACTATGGGAGCGAGTTATGGAGCATAGGTTGCGGCGTGATACTAATGTTTTCTTCAAAATCAATTTGGATTCATGCCGGGTAGGTCGACTATGGAAGCCATACATTTATTAAAGAGGTTGATGGAGAATAATGAAAAAATAAGGAGGATCTAACATATGATATTTATTGATTTAGAAAAAGCATATGATAAAGTACCAAGAGAAGTGCTATGGAGAGTTCTTGAAAAGAAAGGAGTCAATAATGCTTATATTCAAATCATTAAAGATATGTATGCATAAGCTATTACTTGTGTTCAAACACAAGTGGATTGACCAAGTATTTCCCTATTTGGTTGGGTTACATCAAGGAATCACGCTTAACCGTATATTTTTTGCTTTAGTCATGGATGTTCTCACTAGACATTTGCAAGAGGATGTACCTTGGTGTATGCTTTTTGCTGATGATATTCTTCTTGTTGATAAGACTAGAGAGGGATTGAAGGTAACTTGAATTATGGAGTCAACCTTAGAGTCTAAAGGTTTTTGCTTGAGTAGATCTAAAACGGAATATATGGAGTGTAATTTTAGTAGTCATAGACATAGTGAGGGGTTTGTGACTTGGGCGATCAAGTTATTAATAAGGAGTACACGTTTTAGATATCTTGGATCTATTGTTCAGGATGATGGTGAAATAGATGGGGATATTATCAACAGAATTCAAGTTGGATGGTTGAAGTGAGGAATGCATCGGGCTTGTTATGGATAAAATGTACCCCTCAAACTTAAGGGAAATTCTATAAGATGGTAGTGAGGCCTGCAATGCTTTATGGTGCCGAATGTTGGCCTTTAAAAGAGAAGCATAATACTAAGTTAAGTGTGCAGAGAGAGGATGCTTAGTGTAAAACCTTTAGTACTCGAAATGAGCATATACGTGAAAAGGTTGGAGTAGCTCCAGTAGAATATAAGATTAGAGAAAGTCGCCTTAGATGGTTTGGTCACATAAAACGGCGGCCTTGCGATGATCCGTGTAGGGGAGAGTAGAGGTATTAGATTTGACTTAATGTTAAGAAAGGTAGGGGTAAGACAAGATTGATTGTTATAGAGGATCTTAGACTTGATCGTTTACTTAATGTAATTTAAAACGAGAATTTGACTTTTAATAGGATACAATGGAGAAAAAGGATTCATGTAGCCGACCCCACATAGTGGGATAAAGGCTTGATGTTTGTTTTGAGTTATTTTGTTGTTGTATCATGTAAAAGTAATACAAATTTTACCTAGTATTAAATAAAAAGGAAAAATCAAGGAACAAAAATGAATTGCATCTATTAATTTTCCATGTGATTTAGCCATTAAATTAACTAATTAAGTATAATTGAGCGCTAATCCTCATAATTCATCATAATCCCAAGGTTTTCTAGACTTTGTTGTGTATCTGATTTGCAATTTTTTAAGTCTTTTAACATTTGCTCAAGCCAACTCTATCATTTTGCATGTCTACATTCAAAGAACTCAACAAATTTTTCATAGACTTGTAAAAAAAGAAAACATAAAACAATAAATTAGAAACAATAAAATAATAGGTAAGAAAATTAAAAAAGTCATGAAGGAAATAAGAATACAAACTTGAGTTTGCCTCAAGTAGGCACTTTGAATACAAATTTCAACTTTCACTCAAAAAAATGTTATTTTTGTTGTAAGGACTACTTGAATTGTTCAATGTAGAATGATGCACCCATGTTTTGAAGTCAAATTTTTATGTGCTTGGAAGTCAATTTGCAGTCAACATATTTTTTATGTGCTTGGAAGTCAATTTTCAATTTTAAATTCATAATTCATATGAAATTCATTATTGGATTGTATTTAGCTGATATATGAGGATGGAAGCATCTAGAACTCAGAGTGCAGCTTCAAGTTGTAGTGTGCGTGAAAAGGTGGATATTACGTGAAATATTTTAGTGAGATTAAAGGAGCTGAGGGAAGAGACACTTCAAATGTTTTGCATTGTGTATGTGTACAAGGAGGAGGAATAAATAGAATGAAACAACATCTAGCAAGAGTTAAAGGGAATATAGCAGCATGCAAGAATGTTCCACATGATGTTAGATTTCAAATGCAGGAGAACTTAAAGGATATTTCAAAAAAGAAAACAACAAGTGCAG